CAGTTACTTATCATTTTGAGCAGTTGTATCAATTGATAGTTAGATCATTGTAAGGAAATGAATAGACACTCATTTGAAATGTAATGTGTGAATTGCCTTTTGAAATAGTAGTACTTTGATGTTAAGTTGTGTCATATTGAACAGGTGATCTTTGTTGAATGAACAAATGATCTAAGTTTTATGTGTATTGTATCCAAGCAATTGAGAAAAGGGTTAGAGTTTTGAAAAATGTGCTTTTTGATCATTGGTTGTGAGTTTTGTGTCTAGAGTTGTGAAAAATGACATCAAGGTTCTGAAAATAGTAACAAAGTGATTGTAAAAAACTGTAATCTGTCAAATCTTGAATGCTTTGTATCTTTTGGTTAAGATTTTGTTTGGGTGCAGTGCCGTTCCCACTATATTCAGTTAGTTTCCCATTCATTTCCAATGCGGTGCTTTTTTTTCAGAACCATTTACAGTAACCTTTTCTTTTTGAATCATGTTGGTGTGTGTGTGTGTGTGTGTGAGTGAGTGAGTGAGTGAGTGAGTGAGTGAGTGAGTGAGTGAGTGAGTGAGTGTGTGTGTGTGTGTGTGTGTGTGTGTGTGTGTGTGTGTGTGTGTGTGTGTGTGTGTGTGTGTGTGTGTGTGTGTGTGTGTGCGTGCGTGTGTGTGAGTGTGCGTGTGTGTGAGTGTGTGTGTGTGTGTGTGCGTGCGTGCGTGCGTGTGTGTGTGTGTGAGAGTGAGTGTGTGTGCGTGTGTGTGTGTGTGTGTGTGTGTGTGTGTGCTTGCGTGCGTGCGTGCGAGTGAGTGAGTGTGTGTGTGTGTGTGTGTGTGTGTGTGTGCGTGTGCGTGCGTGTGTGTGTGTGTGAGTGTGTGTGTGTGTGTGTGTGTGTGTGTGTGCGTGCGTGCGTGCGTGCGTGTGTGTGTGTGTGTGTGTGTGTGTGTGAGAGAGTGAGTGAGTGAGTGTGTGTGTAGGTGTGTGTGTGTGTGTGTGTGTGCGTGTGTGTGTGTGTGTGTGTGTGTGTGTGTGTGTGTGTGTGTCTGTGTCTGTGTGTGTGTTCAAACCTTTACCAAGCACCTTTATCAAGTTTCGTACCATTCCGATGAAGTAATACTAGATATTGGATAGGAAGAGCCTGATCCTCCTAATGTTGTATAAGGTAAACCTGCAGGACCAGGCATTTCGAGCAATGTGGTCTGTGAAGTTCAACTGATCATCAATCACAACTCCAAGGTTCCTGGATGGAGTTATGGATGACAAACCAAGCTGAGTAGAGAAGTTGTGGTGTAGTGTTGGGTTGGCCGAGACCACAGGCAGTTCTGTCTTTGCAAGGCTGAGTTGATGATGGTGGTTCTTCATCCAGCCAGAAATGTCTGTCTGTCAGGCTGAGATGCGAGTATCTATACTGTTGGATCATGGATTGTGGAATGGCAGGTAGAGTTGTGTGTCGTCAGCAATAGCAGTGATAAGAAAAGCCATGTTTCTGAATGACAGATCCTAATGATGTCATGTATATGGAGAAGAGAAGCGGTCCCAGCACTGAGCCCTGAAGCACTCCAGACACCCCTCCACGACACCCTAAAGGACCTGGAACTATTGCTGTGCGGTTCCTGATGCCCTAAGTCATGTGGGTTGACAGGAGAATCTGGTGGTTATCTGTGTCAAAACTGTCAAAAAATATAGATAATATAATGTTTTGTTAACGTTCCCGTTAAGTTATGAAAGCATTATTTCTGACTGTTCTCTGAACGTTCAAAACAACCAGTTTTTAAAAGTTTTAAAAGACGTTTTTCTTGGTTATGCGATAGTTGTGCAAACGTTATGGGAATGTTACTTTTGAATACTTTCTGAATGTTCTAAAATAAATAGTAACATTTAAAAAATGTTACAGCTAAAACATTTCAGAAATGAATGATGTATAGATAATGTTATGTTAACGTTTTGAGAACATTATTATAGACAAGATAACTTTGAAACAAACATTGTATTCATGTTACTGGAAGAACATTTGTTCGTAACCCTGCCAGAATGTTAGTCAAAGGTTAGAAAACTGTCCCTGTTGGCTGGATAAAGGAATATCTGCACATTTTGACTTTTTAAGTGATTTTAACACATTATGCTTCCCGCAGGTTGTCCCTATCAGGCATAACTCTGGAATATGTGTTCTGGAAGGTTTTAGTTTAAAAGGGTTATTTAACTGATTCTTTGACAATTTGAAACGCAATTCTGGCTTATTTGTATAGCACGTTTCTTACAGTAAATTATAGGGGTGTAACAATATATCATGTCACAAAATATCGCAAATATTCAAGTTTTCAGAGTTTTAGTGTCAGTATTACATGTTGAATATAATGTATAATAATGCAATGGGGGAATATTTGTGGGTTCTGATAATGCCAGATGTCTGATGTTACCAGTAAAAAGTGGCCTACATTATTTTAAATATTTAGTCAGTGATGGTGAAAGCATATTCTTCTAAAATAATTCAGTATTTTCAGCTTCAGAATCATGAATATTGTTATTCTGGTGTCTCTATTGTCCTGTGCTTTGGGTTTCCAGCACCAAGTCCAAGACTATTCATTTACACACAATGAAATACCAAATTTAGCATTTTTATCAACAGTTCATTTTTTGTTAGCCTTTTAGCGTCTTGGAGTATAATATTGCATGAGTTTAGTATCGTGATATGTATCAAATCGTGACACGAGGGTATCGTTACACTCCTATGATTCTAAATGCTTTCATAAAAAAAAAACCGAGTAAGACTAACACATAAAAGTTGAATTAAAAATGGATGGAATAAGACGAATAAAAAAAACAAAGTATCACTTTCCCAAAAGCACATATTTCTCTTTAGATAAATTATTCACCATGGTTCAGCCCACTTATTTTGTTTTATGCCTGAAAATGTTATGTGAAGTAAATGTTGTATCTCAATAAATACTTAAGAATACCCTCCTGGTCTGTCGTAATTGCTTTGTACCAGTGTTCTTTGATAAAAAAAAAAAAGTAAGCCAGATGAGAAAATATGGAGACTTGTTAATGTTTAATATTCTATTATGTTGGTATTTTAAACGACTTTCTTATATGTGGGTGTTTATGGGTGAGTTACTATTGTGGTAAAGTGTCGAGCATGTGCTTCGGTGGAGGACCTGCTAAGAATTCAAGTTGCTTTAAAAGCAACTCCAATGGGTTTGCTAGTGATGCAATCAGTACCATTTTTAGACTGCCAACATCGTATGTATTAAAAGAAAAGCTATATTTAGGTTGATTGTATGTTATTTTAACTCTGTGTGTCTATAAAATAGACACAAATAAATAACTCTTTGGCTGAACATGATTCAAGCATGGACAGTGGTTCCACATGATGGAAACATGTTATCTCAACCAAAAAACTTCATGTTGGATGAACTTAAGCGAAGTGAGTAAACTCAATTCAAATGAGACTCGTCCAAATAACTTGATTTAATCATGTCCGAATAACTTGATTTAATCATGTCCAAATAACTTGATTTAATCATGTCCAAATAACTTGATTCAGTCTTGTCCAAATAACTTGATTCAGTCGTGTCCAAATAACTTGATTCAGTCTTGTCCAAATAACCTGATTCAGTCGTGCTCGAATAACTTGAATCAATCACGTGGAACCACTGTCCATGATTAAATCATGTTCAACCAAAGAGTCATTTTTTTGAGTGCAAGAAGGCTTTATACAATGCCAAGTAGCCTATACATGCACTTTTTGCAATTCTACAGCGTTTGCAGGTTTTTTAAAATTAATTAATATATTATTGCATAACAGAACAATAACAACATGCACATACAGGGGATCACAGTGTAACTATGATCTATTATATTCATAATAGCATGAAAGGAAACAGAAAAAAAATTAGAACAAATAAAAAATATACAGGGGATAGAAAAAGAAAAGGATTCAAAACTTCTATACAATCTGTTTTGCTTTTTTATTTCTTCTAAATATTCTTCTAATTTCTTCATCTTTTAAGGCCTCAATTTAATGCTTAAGTTCAATTTTAAATAATATAATGTTAGGTTATTATTAGTCGATTTCTGTATATGGTATTTTCTATGCATAATTATTAAGTTAATCACCAAATGTTGCTCCAAACACTTACTTATAACAAAATGATATCTTGAACAAACATTGTATTGATGTTACTGGATGAACATTTGTTCATAATCCTGCCAGAATGTTAGCCAAAGGTTACGTCCCTGTTAACTGGATACAGGAATACCGGCACATTTTAACACGTTTATGCTTCCTGCTGGTTGTCCCTATCAGGCATAACTCTGGAATAAAATGAATGTGTAGTCCATTTCTGTTTGAGTATGGTATTTTCCAAGTTAATCACCAAATTTTTCTCCAAACACTTACTTTAATATTTCGACTTTATGCAAATGAGAAGCGAATTTAGAGAGCGACAACCAATAGGAGGGGCTGTCAGTAGAGCTCACGTCACCGTCTCGAGGTCAGGCAAGACGGATCCGGAGCGATTCAATGTTTTATGTGTTTGTCTGTAACCACACATATAGATATAATAAAATGATGCATGGAAAAGGAACTGTCGACAGTCTTAGTGAGTTTGATTCATTCAATGATAGTTCGTGTGTTGTAATTGTTTAGCACTGATGCAGTTCATTTTACAGTTTCCCCATAATCTTGACAAGAAAATTGATTATTTGTCAAATTCGAAAGACGTTTTAGTAATTACAGTATGAGTGACTAAGTCTAGTGATCTAATCCACTGAACACTGCTGTGGTAGGCAATAACAACACTCTCCAACAGCATGTTACTTTTAATCATTTTAAGCCTAAATCCTAGTCAAATTAGAATGATATCTTAATTTATATCACTTGTGGTGGTATTTTCTATAGATATGGCCAGACGTGCAGTCTACCAATAACATTTAAAGCGATAGCACTGTGAACGCCCACAGCGACTCGCAGTGCAGAGACAGCGACAGTGTGAAGAACGGGGCTTCAGACACACGGCACCTGGCGACGCGATACTATATTGACGCGACGCGGGACTCGATCTCGATCCCGCCTGAACTTCCTCTCACTGACGTCAGGCTCGCCGCTCCGGACACCGCGGAGGAGAAAATGCTGCTCTCCGTTCCTCCGAGGACGGGATTCAACCCCTACAACGGGTACAACAGCAGAAACAGCAAAAAGGTAACGCAATCCGACTTTTACGTGTATTTGACTGTTGCTTTCCCAAAACCAGTGAGAAATGCGAGCTGCAGTGTCCTTGACAAATCAACTTCAGCTTTCTGTGGGATCATTGTGTCGAGCTGTGGATACACACGCCTCGGGATATGCTTGGTTTTGTTGGGAATGGCGGCTTTCATAAGTTTCTGGCAATAATAGCTACATTCGTCATCGTTCAAGTCGTTATTAAACCACATACATTAAGCAACATCGTTTTCCATGGAAGTTTCAGGATTATCGAACTTTGAAAGTATAGCCTAAATAATGGGGAAGTTGACTTTCCCACCGCGAAGAAGATCTTATAGATATTGACAGATATGAACCATTGAAATGTGAGCTGTATCGGCGAGTGATCGACATGTTCTGTATCGTATGAAAAAGAGGGATGCGGATGCTTTGATGTTTGCAAGTTTTCATCGGTGGGAAAATACAACGCCCCACCCCTCGAAAAACAACCCACCGTGACGCGCGCGACTGTTGCGTTGGAGAGTAATAAAATGGGAATAAGTTTCAGTTCAGCGAACTCATTATGTTTACGCCTCTTGTGACCGTCCATGTTTGTTAAAGGACCGAAGCAACTTCGACGAGCAACGCGACGCGACCCATTTAAATCGCGATCAGCGAAGCGCAAGTCTTCGAACGCGCAACATAGTTACATTTTTAATAAACGAAGCGAGCGCTTGCAATGTTGCCCGCTTCGTTGTTTATAATGTGCGCGTTATTGTAGCGTCGCTCAGTAGCCGAGCTGTAGATGGGGTTAAACATTACATAATTCAGGATGTGAATGTTCCATTGTTTCCCTGAACTTAAGAATTTTTTGGGCTTATCAAATGCGACATTTTCTGAATGTCACACTCATTCTTAAGACGATAAAAATCAATGCTCTCCTTTCGAAATTTCTTGGTTACACTTTATTTTAAGGTGTCTTTATACACTGATACATTTAATTAGTCTACTGATAAATATTAAGTAACTACTATAGGGTTAGGATTATGATTCGGTTTGGTTTAGAGTTAGTTGCATGTGCATAATTGATAGTTATTACTATAGTACATGTAACACATGTAACTGAAAAAAAAGTGTTACCTATTTCTTAATGTCAACGCACCAGTATTTTATTTATTTATTTGTTATTTCTTAATGTAAGAACAACTTTATAGCTTTCTAAAGTTATATGTAGGCTATTGAGGTGACATCAGGCAGATAGAAATTATGATTTAACATAATGAACCTATAATTGTCTGTTTATGTTAATTTATATTCAATTAAATATTAAGGTAGCTATAATTGTTGTCAATGTATTTCACATTTACAGTTTTAAAAATGCTCTGCGCCAAGAGTTTTACGTTACATTTGGCAGCTGTGATTCGAACATGTATATCATTCAGGCAATACATGCATTAGTCCAAGTGTTGTGTGGGAATTGAACCCGTGACACTGGTGTCGCTAGCGCTGTGCCTCAAGCAGTCGAACGCTTGGGAAGTGACATGATTGATTTCTGAAAACTGTTGATGATAGGTGTGCAAGTGTCTGGAATGTTTACAGTCAGTAAATCTAATATGTGCACGGCTCATGACACAGAGTGTGTGTCGCTCACAGTCACTCCCAACACAACGTCACTGATAAACACTTGGGAAACTGATTGTAATTTGACAAATGAAAGTGAAATTAAATTCTGCTGTCTTTTTCCAAGAAATGCATTAAGTTACAGCAGCTTGACTATTGTCCACAAAAACTTATTTAAGCTTTCTTAACTCTTTCCCTGCCAGCATTATTTTTTAAAGTTGCCAGCCAGACAGTATTTGGATATTTTTCACAAAAGTTTCATGGCACCCAGAATATTTTGTTGTATGAATATCTGAACATGCAATATATCAAAAGAAAGAGCAGAAACCCGTTCTGTTGTAGTTTCATGCATTTTTTTTATTATGAATGTGGGTAAGAGATTAATAAAAGAAGCAACATTTTGAGCAAAAAGCTGAGAAAATCACGTTTTTGTCAAAGACTACATCCAGATGGGATTCAGAACGATGATCAAAACACAGATGGAGTAGCCTATAGATCGAGTCCATCAACACCCCTAAAGCTTCAGTCCTGTATCTCGTCCCGGGTCGACATTTCATTCAGTAACATTAGGCAGTTTTGATTTATATGCTGTTTAATGTTGATGATCATGTTATTTTACATATGCTATCGCTTGTTTCTGCTTCTTCTTCACCTGTGTTTTGATCAGGAGATTCAGTACTCTTTCAGAAGATGTGTAATAGCGCCCCCTACCGTATAACAGCGAAAACACGGAAAGACAGAAAATATCCGTCAATGGCGGGAAAAGAGTTAAAGCAGCACTAAGTAGGAATTCCGTTTTTGTCAAGTTAAGCCCTGTTTACACCGCAACATGATCTCATTTTTAGTGTGTTTTTTGTGACATGAGCAAAAGTGACCATTGGATGACACAATGTGGGCGTGTCCATCGATGCCACAAAGTTGAGAAGTTTATTTTTATGCAAATGATCAGCGTCTCTCATCAGCAACTACCAATGGTAGTGTAGTTAGTGGAGCGCATGAAGGAGAGAATGATCTCATCAATCACAATTTTTCCAATTCAACTTTTTATATTCAATCAGGTTACTCTCTGCAGACAAACTGTGCCAGTGCCTTTACTTGCAGCGCAGATATGAGGATGCCTCGTTTCTCACTGATATCATTGTGCTTTGATTCTGTATATGAATGGTTGAATGCCACGAACTACTAAACATTTCATTCCCACTACTTTTTGAATGTAACTGTTGTGAACCTTTGAATGTAAAGCGCTCAGGTTACATTAAAACCCATCATTCTGCATTCTGCATGTGCGTGAGTGGATTTATTCTGCTCTATATGAACCCTTTTCACATTTCCAGGTTTGGAAAGTGGAAGTAAACTATAGCAAGGTAAATAGAGGTACATGGGAAACCAAAGCAAATATAATTTTTGCATTCCCACTTGCTCCAACAACAAAATACGAAAAATTACTAATGCATTTCCATGACTTTTCAAAAGAGGAAAAAGAGAGAGATCAAACACAAATATGTTTATGGTCTCACATATATCTGAAAAGCACCACGATAAAGTGCATATTAAAGTGAAAATGTATCTCCTATTTGAATAGTTTTATGTTTTGGCATACACTTTTTAAAATTGGCATAAAGTTTTTTTTTTAAATTGTAACATGACAAGTCCAGTGTGGGTTTATATGTCGGAGAACATGTAATATATTTCTTATATCTTATGCTTTATTAATTGTTTCTCCTTTTATTAAACACTTAAGTTTAGATTAATTTGCATATGAATTACAGTTTGAGTATTTGAAATTTTAGTTGTAAGTTTAGTATTTCAGCAACAATAACCAGTGTGTTTTGTTGTGGATGATTTTCTTCCTGCACGTTCACTGCTTGTCTTAGGTTATCTCTATAAAGTTTTTATTTATTTATTTAATGATTCTAATTACAGACAGAGAATTATTAGTCTTTGCATACATTTTTGTCAGAATCATTCAGACAGTGTCCTGCACTCACTATACTATGAAAGACACATTATTGATATTAAATACCAAGAAAATAGATCATATCATGTTGAATTGGGTTTATTAATTCTAAAGTTCTTATCAATATCAGGCAGTTTCATCACCATGTTCCAGTAAAACATAAGTCTCTTTGAAGGGCTTCTCTAATAGCAGTGTTTCGTAATGACCTTTAAAGCAGAAACACACTCAAATAACTCGAGAACTGAATATTCGATTGGCTGCTAAATAATAACAAGAATTTGCTGTGAAACATTTCTCATGGTTTCTGTCTGTCATATTTCAAAATAAAACAAGTGACAGCTAAATAAGCTTACAAACATGATCAGAATTAGACCCTTTTGGTATGTTCAGATACATTTTAAACTGGTAAACAACAGTGACACAACAAATATATGTTAAACAACATTATGTTATAACAGATTAAACAGATCTCTCAGCATAGCTATATTCCCGAGACACATTTCACAACACTATGGCTGAAGTGAACTGTTATGTTAGTGGTGAGAAGAGAACGTTACTCCCATGACTAGCTGAAAAACATTTGGCCGTATCCCAGAGTTCATGCGCAGGTTAAGTGCACATGTGGAGAATTCCAGACATATCTCTTCTCGGCCATCTCTCTCTGGCCTGTCTCTCTGACCCGATCTCTCGTTCCTGTACCTGTGCCATAAGAGTCAACAAAAGAGAGAACACAAAATAAACACGAGCCGAGGGACGAGAAAAGGCTCTTTGTGAGTGGGAGGCGATTATAGAACCAGATGGCAGAAGGTTTTGAATTACCAAATTGCCTTTAAAATGACGTTAATCAAAACTACATTTCCCAGAAATCCCAATTCTACTGGGTCTCTTGAATGGCGGCAGTTTTGTTTTCTGCAAGAAAAAACTGCACACTGATGCATTTCGGCCTCAGATTTGTCAGGTGATTTGTTAAAGAAATGTTGCTGTTGCTGTATAAATTGAATCATTGCCTTCTAAGCAACAATTTTCTATTGTTTTACCTGAAGAGCATTCATTGCTTGAGACTGAGAGTACATTAAAGGAAAAAAGCCCCCCTGTAGTCAATCATTTTATCCCTTAAAACTCATCTGTGATCACCAAAATTAAATTTTTTTTAAAAATAAATTCCTTGAAAAAAACCCTTCATGCCTTAAAATATCTCGAATGTAACACGACACCCTTGCCTCATTTAGTATGCGTGGTTCTATGAATATGCAAATGAGCCCCGCCTCCACTCACTCACTCAGCTCAGAGATCCACTGGCTGACGATCACACGTTGATCTGATTGGTTACAAGGTCGTTTGTGACGTCAGAAACACCAGCGATTTCAAACCGTGTTTTTGAGACTGTCTTTGGTTCACTGCAGTTTTAAGGAGAAAATACTCAGCAATGCTGTCGACTTAT